TCCCCTTTGATTTCTGTGCTAGGCCCGCAGCAATACCTTTTTGGATGATTCTGGCAAGCTCCCCTGATTCTATCATTACTGCCCTTGATGTTGCGGTCATAGGAGGTACACCCGAGGTTCCAACACCATTATCAGGGATGTTTCGTGGAGCTCGAGCTTGAGCAGCTGCCATAAGATCGCCTTCCGGTGTTGGTGTATGCGATGGGTGTGAGTTTCTTTGGCTTAATAACTGAGCCAATGTAGTAACTTGTTGGCGGAGCTCTTCAAAAGCTCCGGTGGTAATGACAGCTGGTGGCAGTGCCGCCATCTCTAATGATTCCTCTTAAGGGACAGGGTGATCTCCAGGAGGAGGATTTGGAGCGGATGAGCTTGCTGGTGGAAAACCCGATCGTGTATTCACCATGGCTTTTGGTAGCACTTCCCACAGACGGCGCCAATGATGCTGTCACCTGAAAGATCTCGAGCTTGATAGTCCAACTTCACTTTGATGAATACAACCGGTCTGTGATTACTTGTAATAAAGGCAACGAAGTGTGTGCTCGTCGCCCCTCCGATGCTTAAGTAAGATGGGAAATTTAGTGCGTAAGGCTATAAACTGAAGATAATGAAAAACATACCTTAGTGTTGAGCTTTGGCCAAGTATTTATAGGTGTTGGTGGGGGAGCTGTAGAAGGATTCTATTATTGAAAGAGTCCTTTCCACCCTTAGGATTAGGTGTTGGAGTGTGATTAGAAGTATTCTGTTAGAGTTCTAATCAGGAGAGGAGTAGACTTAGGTGGGGTCTATTTTCTTTTGGAGATTAAGTCGGTGGGCAGTATTGGGAAAGATACCCCGACCTGGGGGGTAAACCCCGACCTCAAATAGGCCCAACTCACCAAGATCAACTCGGGGTATTAGTTCGAGGTCGAGCATGGTACACGAACTCAGGGATAGTTCGGGGTTACCAGTCCGGAATCATCACCGACCAACTATCTTCATTCGCAACTCAAATTCTCCTAGCAACATAAAAGTGCATTGAAGTAACATAGTGTTACTACTATTTTCATAGTCCAAATCCACCACTGCATCACCCACCACTGCATCGCTAATTCACATTCAAACCCAACTTTTGCTCTTTAGTTCATTATAAATCAACGATATGGGAGAGAATCTGTGCTTATATGGCGGATTAATGTCAGAACAAACATCTATATTAGTTGGCCTTAATCTTTGTGAGATCATTGTTCTGACTTTTGTCTTCACAAATTCAATGGCTGCCGTGTATATAAGCAGAACCTAGAAAGTCACTGCTTCCCCCAACGTATCGTTTTTCCATGATAAAATGATTCTCTCTTCATAGAACTCAGGCGAATTGGCCATCACCCATTTCAGTGCCAATCATCGACCACCTGCTCTACTCTCTCTCTCTCTGATTTAGACTGTGAAATGTGAACCTTGTTTCTCTCTCTCTCCTCTCTCTGTAATTTGGTACATGTTTGGCCCCCTTTAAAATTTTTAATTGTTTGCTATAGTATCATTTTTCACCATAATGGCCATAAGAAGAGATTGTTTCTGATATTTTTGTAGATACTCAACCCTCCATTTGCTTCGGTTAGAGAAATTAAAGAATAGTTCATGGAAACTTTATGAATATACTTAACAATATTTCTAAAAGATATACATCGTGAAATTAAAGAATCAAGATGTATATCAATGAAAAAAGAGGTGTAATGTTGAGATGATAAGTACACGACAATGGTTGTATTTTTATTTTTTATTTTTTTATTTTTAGTTTTTATTGGATTAGGAGCATAATTGTAAATTTGTTGTGGTGTATTTATTAAAAATATATTTTAATTGTGGTGTTATTATAATGTAGTGTAGTAATTAAATTTTGTGGTGGTAACATAATTACCCAATATTTTATTTGAAGAATGTTTGGTTGAAAATGAATTTGAGAAAAAATAAGATATAAAATAAAGAGAACCAAACAGGGACCGAGAATATTTAAGAAGAGAACTGAAAAAGGATGAAGCACAGAATATTAATAGAAATATGGGAGAATTAAATTGAAATCAATCAAATCTAGATAGAAAGATTTGAGTTTGATTTTATTTAGTGATCGAATGACTAAAGTTATTAAGGAGGTTCAATCAACAATAATAATAAGGTAATTGAAGTTGGCTGCTCTGCTATGCTATACTAGTTGTAGGGCACTAGCTCAAAACGCGATTAGACTACGACGATGTGCAATATCTATGCACCGTATTAAGGGCCTCCTTCTGCTGGGCAATCTGACTACTGCTAAATGTGAATGGCCAACTTGATATTTGTATTCTAAAATTCCCCAAAACCCAATTTAGATACCAATTGTTATTTCAGCTTCCTTCGGTCTTGTATCGAATGAGATCTCTTGAACAGGGTTTTTCTTTGTCAAGTATTATGCTTCTTACGCCATGCTTTAGTCCTCTTAATCCTTTACAGAGTCATCCAACTAGTAAAGATCTGGATCATCCGCAACAAAAGAAAAGAGGGAATCCTTGCCTAAGCTTGAAACTATATGTAAAAAAGATTGCTCCCCTTGCTTGCAATGATGTGGTGATGAACCTTTCATTCTAATTCAGTGCTCTCTGAACCATGCGGGAAGGTTTCTCATCAAGCGGCTCTCCAACTTGATCTTGCTCATGAACCATATGTCATCCATTCGATGATGTTATGGTGCTTTTTCCTTTTTATATAATTTATATAAATAGGCTTCCAATGCAAACTGAGATCTTGGAATTAAAATGCCTTTTCTTGGCATTTTCCCTCAAGGATTTTTTTGATGGAACGGTGATGGAGGCGTGCTGACATCGATTGCCAGCACCTTGAAGTAGGGAAACAAACCAAATTGGAATTAAAAGAGGCAGAATTGCAGACTTGACAACGTCGATGATGGAGGTGGTTAACTTTTGTCAAAATCTGCTAAAAGATAAATTTTAATCTTTACCAAACAATGGCAAAATATGATCATTTTGTCATAAAAATGACTGTAAAATGTATTATTAAAACAACTTCTAGACGAGGAAAAGTAGTATGATTAAATGGATTAAAACAAAGGGAAAATAGGGGTCTATAATAGATAGTGATTTCTCTCTAGAATTCAAGGAAATATTCTAATCTAATGATAGAGGGGCTGTAAGACTTCACGATTCCGAATTCGATAGAATATAATTCTATCAATTTTACATAATTTAATGACAATGTTTCGATATATCCAAAATTGATATAAGTGAAAAACAAATTTAATTGATCAAAAAACCAAATACGAACAGATGTGACAGGTCTCCTACCATGTCCATCCAAATTTGTTCCTCTTCCAATTGGTTCGTTATCCCATCAATTTCTGGAGCCAATTAAGGGCTCCGGCACGATACATGGACAGCTCGAGAGTTCCATCTCCACACGTGATTTTGCCCTCACTGTGGGCCAACTCCTTACCATGTGTCACCTTAAGTAGGACCCACATTGAAAATTGGTTGACTTTTATTGAAAAGTCCATGAAGATTTGGTAACAAGGTAATTGACCACTCTCCCACACGTCACTAGATGACACAAAATGCAGCTAAACCTAAACCCCTTTCTACCAGGTCAACATATTTGTCCCTTCTTAATAGGGTCATATTGCCTTAAATTATATGGGACACACATCAAAAGTCAACCCCATATACATGCAAATACAAGATAATCCTTCATGTTTGTATCTAATGTTCTAGGTTCCTTCAGTTATTTTTCTCACAAATATACTTCGTAGCAGATTGGATTGGACGAGATTAAAGAAGTAAAATATGTAAAACACGTTTCCTATTTACTATCTAACAAGTTAAACTTGTAAATGATTTGATGATTGAATATTGTACTAATGCTTGGTTTACGTTGTAGCATATTTTATTTCTTAGGTCAAAGTATTCATAACATAATAAAGTATTTTGATTTTGATATATATCCTCAAAATTGGAACTATTTTGAAATCAGGAGTAAAATTCATTGTGCATTATATTTACTTTATTGAGTATTTTACACATATATTTCCATATATTTTTAATAGTTGACTCTTGTTATGTGGTTTAGACAAGCTTGGTCCACTTTTGCATAACAAAAAAAGTAAGTGGTCCATTACACCTCAATGTCATATCTTATCAAGGCATCTTAACAAAACAAAGTGATAATATAGAGATTAAAAATTACTATGATATTGATAATATAAATATAAAAATGAATAGATCACTTTTAATAATATGTTTGGATACTTGTTCTTAGGTTATATAGATCAAAGAATAATTCTTTGTATAAGCTCTGTTGTTTAGGCATTACAATGATGTTAGTCGTTATTTGAAAGATGTTCAATTTATATAACTTTTGGTGAAATTTATTTTTTATCCACTCATTATATAGGACCCACAAGTATTATTCACTTATCCATTGCTCATTTATATGATTCTATTTGTAATTTAAATCGATTTTGTTACGTATCAAACACGTGCTTAGGTCTATTGAAATGCAGGGAATATAACGCATTTTATGAGACTTATCATTTAACGCCATTGTTCTCGATTCTTAATGGTACTTCTCTTCGATGAATTTGATGTTGGAGTGCCATCTATTTTGCTTAAGGTGCGGTAAAAACCATAATAATGAGCTGTATGAGGAATGTGGAGGTTGATAAGATTGGAGTTTTCAAAAGTCAACCTAGTAAACAACAAAATCTCTTAATGAAACAAACACATTTGCTACATGGGCAATATTGTGCAGAGGCCTGCTACACCGACAGGGCCACGACAGACCTCCTACCAATACGGGGATGCCGTGTGCGCCCCCTGAAAAATAGTGCCTACGTGGCCCCATCCGTTTAGATTTTTCCTATTGAGCATGCTAAATTAACACACAAGATATTATAATTTTGCTTTCTGAAATAATATCTATATCTACACTACTTAATAGCAATCACCTACTAAAGCTTTATAAATTAAAAACTTCGAAGGCAAAAGACACAAACATCAAACCTCACACTGCATCTACTCCACTTTGAATCTCATTTCATAATCCCTCTCATCATTCTCTTCGTATCATTCTAAGCACCTGTTGTACTGCAAAAATAAGTTTAAACAACAATGGAAGCGCTAAAGAGTATTTCTTTATCAGAAGGGTTTGAAGATGATCTAATTAAAGAACTTTTCGACAATGAATCACCATTGTTTATGCCTTATCAAGAAACATCAATGGAAACAAACTCCATCACTTCAACTGATTCAAGCATTAACCCACAGGTCGTATCAGCCCTCCATTCGAGTCCTACGATTCAAGATGATATAGAAAGAGCTTTATTAAACACAAATTATGGTATCCAACCTGTAGCTATATCAGAAGCCTGCAGGTATTATTTGTAGATTCTGTTGTTTCATTTTAGCCGACATGTTTTATTGAGTTTGAGATGACTTTTTCTTCTCTCTCTCTCTCTCTCTCTCTCTCTCCATGTGTGTAGAACTTCATTAATGCTGGAAAGAGGCTTGAACAGGGAACAGGAGAGTAAGCATACTATGAGAATCAAGTGTTGTGGCAATGTTATGTCTGATGATGGCTATAAATGGAGGAAATATGGCCAGAAATCTATTAAGAATAGCCCACATCCAAGGTAATAATTTTAAAGTAAATTTTAGGGATGTAAATTAATCAATTCTTACTTATTTATACTTGAAATGAACCCATAAATCATAATTACTTAATTTGTAAATGAAGAAATTGATTACTTAATAGATGAGCTCTTTGCATTAAAGTGATTAGTAATCTTAACTGCTTCATGGTCTCTTTGCCATATTTAATATACAAGAAAATATTATCTACACGCTTACTCGATAACTAGAGAAGCTCTCTGATATATTCATTCGTTACATTGTTATCTTTTGTATTTTAGGACAGTTAAAACAATCAGTATCCTCGACTTGATCATATAATGCAAGGACACGTCTAAAGACGACGGCTAATCTGCATTTTCAGGGTAGAATTATGCAAAATGATGTCCAATTCTAATTCTTTTCCCCCTAAAATGTAGGAGCTATTACAGGTGCACAAACCCAAGGTGTAGTGCAAAAAAGCAGGTGGAGCGGTCCAGCGATGACCCGGACATCCTCATTATAACCTATGAAGGGCTTCACCTCCACTTTGCTTACCCATTTTTGTTGCTTAATCCACTGGACCAAATTGATCCACCAACAAAGAAACAAAAAGGTCACAGGCCCATATCGCCAGCCCAAGACTATTCAGCAGAAGCCAACCAGATTTTCAGTTCCAGCCCAGTATTAGGGGAGTTAGATGGACCGGAGTTGCCAGGCCCACAAGGTCTTCTTGAAGATGTTGTGCCATTGTTGATTCGAAAACCTTTGGTCAATGCTGCTTTCTCCAATTCTTCGTCTTCGGAATCTTCTTCTTCTCCAACTTCCCACACTTCCTTTTCTTGGTCTCTTGATGATTCTTCTTTAGGATTCCATACGAATATGTAGGATCATTGGTGGAGTCAAAGACTCGGTAAAGGCCTAATTTAATTACCAAAAAAATTTTTAAAAAAATATAAAAAAATATTATATTACAATAAAAGAAAAAAAAATCTCGAATTTTAGTAGGGGCACAGGTAGGTCCCCTCCCTCTGCCACTTTGTAGGATAAATTTAGTGTGTAGTATCAAATAAAATCGAATGGTACAATCAATAAGATTATAGCTTCTTTTTTTCTTTTTAAATATTATTTAGTATTGTCCAGTGTATTTTATCAAACATATCAATCAAGTCTTGAATGGTCAATTCCAAGTGATTCTGCTTGATTGAGAAAGGATGTATTGTAATATTCTACACCAGGGACGGATCCAGAATTTTTCATAGCGGGGACTGAAAGTACTTGATAAAGTGAATGTAATAAAATTTATACGTACTAAAAAAACTCGTTAAATAATATTATTTATTTAAGTCGTTCCCGACGAGGATTTGAAACATAATATTCATCTATAATAGAATCTAAATCTATTTTCTCAGCAAGTTCTCTTTCTATAAAAAGTATTATACAATCAGCAAGAAAATCATCCTCCATTTTGTTGCAAAGCGTTGTCTTCACATGTTTCATTGCTGAGAATGCTTGCTTAGTACTTGCGGTAGAAACGGGTAATGTCAATACAAGACGAATCAATCTAATCATCATAATGTAAATCTCTGACCTTCCACTCTCAGTCAACTGTTTGCATAATAGATACTTGAAATCGAGACTCACCCTTCACATCTAACTCATAATGTGGCAACTCATATTCCAATGTAATAATATCTTGTTTCGAAAAATCTTGAGGGTAAAATTTCTCTGCAAGTGTGCAAATTTTTCAACTGTCAAATGATCTAAATGAATTTTTAGGATCCAAAGCTGCACTGAAAGAAAGAAGTTCTACTGATATGTCATTAAATCTTGTATTTAACTCCATCATTACAAAATCTATTGCTTCATTAAAAACATCATAGTGATAATAATGCCTAATTGTAGTTTCATCACTAGAACGGCCAGTGTTACACAAACATTCTAGATCGGGTATTGTAATATTGTTCTTTGAGCAAAAGGATTTTACTTCTTGAAGAAATTCTTCCAATCATCATCTCTCAATTTTTGAAGCAATTGTTTAGTGGTAAACACAAACCTTAAAGCAGTCAAGATGTCTTGGGATCTTCTTTGAAGGGATTGACAAAGAACATCACTGATTCTCATTATTCTATGCATCAAATGCAAGATAAATATGAACTTAAAACTCACCAACTTTTTGCAAGCACCACGAGCTTTAGCTTGAGATCTACCATTTGAACAATGATCACAAATTTATTGAAACACTTTGCGGGTTGCACCATACATATCTATCAAGCTCTTTATAGAGTTGTAATGTGAGCTCCAATGAGTAGCTCCAAATCATTGCAGATTAACCATTTGATTAGCCCCACTTCTAGATTCACACTCCCCGGTATCCAACATACATTGAATTTCCTTTCTATGAGAAAATTGCAACTCAGTAACTCGTTTAGGAGAAGAAGTAATAACATTGACAATCTTGTCCAAATGAGAAAAGAAGTTCCAAATGACATGGACTTCTTTAGCTGCCGCGACCAATGTTAGCTGTAATCGATAAGCAAAACAATGGACATAGTATGCACATGGACAATCTCTAAGAAACAATGCTTGAAGTCCATTCCAAGCACCTCGCATGTTACTAGCGCCATCATACCCTTGTCCTCTCATTTTGTTTACCCGAAGTTCATATTAAGCAAGAACATCACATATTTCATTTTTGAGATTCGATGAAGTAGTATCACTGACTCTTTTGATTGCAAAGAAACGTTTTATCAAACTACCGTGACTATTCACAAATCTCAAGATAATGGACATCTGCTCTCGATTAGATGCATCTTGTGCTTCATTAACAAGAATGCAAAAGCATTCATCCCCAACTTCCTGTCGAATCACATGCCGTACTCTATTGGCCATAATATGCAAAATTTCTTTTTGAAAGGTTGGAGCAATGTATTGAGCATTTTGTGGTGCATTTTCCAAAATAATTTTACTAATATCTGGATTCAAATCAGCTAAGTGCTTTATTAGTTGTTTAAAATTCCCATGATTACGTGAAGATGGGGATTCATTATTACCTCTGAACCTTAAACCTTGAAATGCTAGCCATCGAACACTTTTAATTGAAGTCATTATACGCAAACGACGT